TGCATTGTGGTAAACTGTGGTCAATGTCATGAGACAAAGTATATGTAAATTGCTGTTTGGAAAGTGAATTTGCTCTGTAAATCTTCACCCAAATCACAATTAAAAAAAAAAAAGAAAGTTGCTACTTACCTCTGTGAGCTGCTGCCTCAGTTGTTCCTCAGTGAGACCTAGTGCTCTCATCCCTCGGGCCCTACAGGCAGCTTGGAGTTCTGACACACTCAAAACACTCACCCCTTCTTTGGCAATTACCTGAAAAAAAATGTAGGGAATGGTGTTTACTCTGTGCCAATTTCACATTATCCCCAAGTCCCAGCAAATCAGGAGAAACACAAGGTCTTATGCTTTGACTCTTTGTCCCCTGCATTGTTGCAATAGCCAGAAGCCTTACAAAACAGAATGACTCAGGAAGGTAGGAGTTGAGAGAAGGGAATTCTGCCAACAGGTACTAATAATATCAGGGATATTTATATAACTCCTCCCCAACATTCTGCCTCCAAGGTAGTTACTTCCCTCTAGATTTGTATTTTGCCTGGTTGTCACAATCTACTCCTTTTGCCTTTCATGGCAGCTTTAGGATTCATTAGAAAAATATTTCAGTTGAAAAACTTTCCATAGACCATTTGTTACATGTCCCAGTGTTCTTGTCCCACAGTCCCCCTACACCACCTCAGGGATGGCCCTGACTCTCTGGACCACAAAACTCCCTCATTAATACTTTAATACAATGTCTGCTTGGTGTGACCAAGAACTATGGTACTTTTGAGACCAGGATTGTTTATCCAAAGTTCTGGAAGCAACATCTGATATCTAAATGGGGTTGATGGGATCATGGTATCTCAGTTCTGGGAAACCTGCTCCCTCAGGCAGAATGGTTGAAAGCAGCTGATTCAGATTTAAGAGACATTCTTTTCCTCTTTTTTTATTATAGTCTGATTAGTAGTTATAGTCCATACAATGCCTTTCTTCTGTAATATGTCAGGCTCTGCTTTTCCTGCCAGCATTGTGTTTCACTACCCCTTCTTACTAGGCTAACTCAACCAGCAGCACATTTCCTTTGGCACAGCTCTGTGGGAGCAGAGGGGTGGGGGTAGAGCACTGTCTTTAGCAGTGTAATGCCAGGAACCTACTAAGCTGCTTTTTCCTTCCCAGTAGGTCCTAACTGCTTTAGATAAGCCCCAGCTAAGACATCAAATGACTAACTGCTTATGATGGCCTTCTCAAGAAAATGGGTCAGAGTACAACAAACAACTCCTAAAATCAGTAATCAAGGTTCAGGTTGTCATGGTAATGGTTTAAACCACTCACTTTGCCAGAACACATCAATGACTTAGACCCAACAGAAAATAATGTAATTCATCACAAAACTACCCTATGATAATCAATTCTTATTATCTCCCAAAGCGTGGCTAACTCCCTACAGCTATAGTTAAGCTCTTACTTCATCATCTTGTTTTATAGATTTCAGTTTCATCAGGAGCTGAAAGCGGAGCAAATTGTTGGTTCCAAAGGCCTGCAATTCTAGCAGTTTGCAAAGGGCAACGAGCTGAGGTCGATCTAAGTGCTCCATGGTTAGCTCATCCTCAAATAGTTTGGAAAAGCGAACTATCTCCTTTGTGCAGGGCTTGTGGCCTGTCTGGACCTAGGCATTGGGACAAAGTGGCCAATTAGAATGTGTTTCCTACATAATTTAGCTTT